GTCCCGGATAATATGGATTCACAACATGCTCCCATGGTTGGGCATGGTCACACATGCCCGGTGGGACCTAGTCATTTCCACCTAGTCATTTCCGGGTCAAAATGTCTTGCGTGACTAGGACCCCACGGCTTTGCGTAGTTGCGTAAAGTGCGCAGCCCAACTATGTGATCTACGTGCATGCGTGGAATAGCCACATGGGCCTGTGTGCGCAGGCGTGGCCCAGCCTTTATAAGCCGGCATCATGATTCCCGGCTCCATCTTTACTCATGTGTCTTTTCCACAGGCCTGTGCACATCTGTCTCTCTCCCTTATGTTAATAAAACTCTTGTTAGTGGATTCTGTCGTGTTTTGTGATGTTTCCTCTCAGGGTAAGAGCACCGCAAATAACCAACAAGAGCCACAGAAACCTGCCTTACAGTGTGCTTCCTCCCAGTTTCTTGTGACTTCAAATGAGAATTTTAATTAAATTTTCCTCTTAGGTTGTAAGGAGATTAAGTGGACTAATTCCAGGTCACAGAGATTGGCCCAGGGTGAATGAGCCCATCTTGTCTCAAAAAGAGGACCTGTGAAGCGACTTAGGGCATAAAGACACCTGTTACAAAGCCTAGTGACTCAAGTTTGATCCTTTAAATCCTCCTGAGTGGACTAAAGGAGAGACCCAACTCCACAGAAGTTGCCCTCTGACCTATGTACGCATGCCGCGCCATGTGCAACACCAACGCCCACACACAATCATGAAACTTTATTTAAGATTTCAGAGTTTTTATTGTAAAGATGCCAGTGAGCACCGGCCTGATAGCAAGGGTCAAGACAGCAGTGTAGAGGGCCATAGTATTGTTGACTGTAACCCCAGCGGCTGGGAGGCTGCGGCAGAAGGATTGTCATGTGTTTGGGGTCTGCTTAGGTATAAATTGAGACTATGTTTCAAACAGAATAGATAAACAAACAAACAAACAAACAAATAAATAGAGTTGAGGGTGATTCATGACTTCTAGTCCTTGGTACTGAAAAAAACCAAGCAATAATAATAGACTACAAGTACTGTAGTACTAGAGATGGACATCATTCCTTCATTCATACTTCACACTGGTTTCAAATCCCTCAGCAATCCTATGAGGTGAGAGCCACTGCTCTAGCTTACTTTCTATGACTGTGATAAAACACTCTGACCAAAAGCAACTTAGGTGAGGGAAAGAGTTTATTTGCCTTATACTTCCGGGTCGCAGCCTGTCCCTGAGGGAAGTCAGGGCAGGAACTGAAGCAGAAACCAAGGAGGAACTCTGCTTACTGGTTCACTCTCTGACTCATGATCGCTAGAGTTGTTACATAGCCCAGGCTTCCTTGCTTAGGAATGGTGCTGCCCACGGTGAGCTATGTCAGTAAACAAGCAAGGTGACCCGCGCCCCCCAGACATGTTCACAGGCCAACCTGATCTTGGTCATTGCTCAATTGAGGCTGTCTTGTCAGAATGACTCTAGACTGTGGCAAGTTGACAATAACAACTGACCAGGACACCTGTTACCATACTTAGTGCTGAAGTCAGAGTGAAAAGCTACCTTCTGAAAGCCTCACAAGTAGCAAGCAGGGCTCTGGGGACAACATGTTTTTGTTTTTCTGTTTTGTTTTGTTTTCCTCAATGAATGTGTCCTGCTGTTGAATTCAGTCTAACTGTTAATAGCAGCCAGTGTCTGCATGCATTACAAGTCCTGCAGTGTTAACAGCAGCTACTTTATATCTAGCCATTTTGTTGTTTTTGGTTTTGAGTCATGGTTTCATGTAGCCAAGACTGATCATGATGCAATGTGCCCATTGTGCCCATGCTTTTTTTTTTTTTTTTTTGGTTTTTCGAGACAGGGTTTCTCTGTGTAGTTTTGCGCCTTTCCTGGGACTCACTTGGTAGCCCAGGCTGGCCTCGAACTCACAGAGATCCGCCTGGCTCTGCCTCCCGAGTGCTGGGATTAAAGGCGTGTGCCACCACCGCCCGGCGTGCCCATGCTTTTACCTCCCAACTTGTGCCACCCAGCTCCATCAGCCTCTCCACCAGGCCCTACAAGATAGAAAAAAGTTTTCTTCAGCTGGGTGTAGTGGTTCAAACTTACAACGTTACCACTGAGGGGGGCTGAGCCTGGAGGATTATGGTGATTTTGAGATCACTTATGGCTATATGATTTAGTTCCAAGACACTGTGGGCTATATACAAGCTCCTGTCTAGAAAAACAATTAGTATGTTTTCCTGAGTTGTTTCACTTTATAGATAAGAGAGTTGAGCCTCTGCGGGGTAAATTAGCTGCCTAGAAATCACAGACATAACAATAGGTGATGAGGCTTGTTTGGAGACCTCGGTAGGAAGGAAAGCAGGCTCAGGAATTAAGGTGGATGAGAATGAAGGCTCTGATCTACCCCACTTTCTCCTCTAGTAGAGAAAACTGAGGACTGGAGAGTCAAAAAACAGCTGCTAGGGGTTCTTAGCCTTAATATTGGACTTCATTTCCCATAGGGAACCTGAGTATATAACTTCTTGGCTCCTTTTCTCCCTTGTTGTGAGGGTGGGTGTTTAGTCTCCAAACAGGACTTCTGGATCTTCTTTGTGAAGTTTTTGGGGCTTTTCCAAGGGATGCCTGTGTGAATGGATAGGGGCCAACGAGTCCTCCCCACCTAGATGGTGATGAGCCACGATGGAAGACAAGGGTGGCTGTCATGTTTTGCATCCTCCCTTCCCAACACTGGAGGGGAGGCTGCTATGGGAGCTTGTAACATGAATTACTAAGTGGTCTTATTAATAATAAAAACCCCAGAGCCAGATATTGGGGTAAAAGCTGAAAGATCAGAGAGGCAGAGCAGCAAGCCACTATTTCTGACCCCTATGAAATCATCTGCCCAAAGAGAGCAAGCTACTCTTTCCACCCTGCCTTATCACTTCTTCTCTCCACCCAGCTCTATCACTTTCTGTCTGTCTGTCCAGACCTCCAGACCTCTATGGTAAACTAGTGGCTAGCTCCTTCTTCTGATTTTTCAGGAAAGCCTTATTTGTTAGAGCACAAATAAAATATCACCACATTTCTCCTTTTTTGTCTAAAATAATAAAAGGTTATAACTAATATAAGAAAACTATGTACAATAACTACAATAACTATATACAATATATACAGGCAATAAATACATCAACAATGTCTAGTCCATTTGCATTTGAAAAATTCAGAGAAAATATTCCATTATCTATCCTATCTTTGTGAATCCAAAGGAGCGTATCTAATTCACCTTCTACCCTAATTTGTGTTATCAACTGAAAACTATCTTTTGATATCTTTCAAACTTAAACACTTTACACCTCTTTAGTGGGTTTCTTTTCTGAATTTGTTAACAAGGAAAACTAAGTATAACTATCTAATCTTCAACTCCCTCAGAGACCAGAGAAGGAAATAATATTGAGTAAGGAGGAAGCACAAACAAGTGACTTCCAAAAAATGTGAGGAATGACAGAAACAGCTGGCTGCCTGGAAAATCACCTGAGGTTTCTCTGCAACGTTGGGGCATCCATCTTTGTCCTACAAGCCTAGCATATCTGACAGACTCATCTGTGAAACAGGGCTTTCTAAAGGGCCTTCCTACCTTGTTTTGGCAAGGATCATCAGTCCTTTCTTTTGTGTCCGGCTTGTCCATTTTGGACAGCATACTATCAGCAGTCAATGTAAGGGCACTTTCTTGGCCACAAAGAAAGTAAACTCTATATGGAATTTTGTAGCATGAATCTTAAAAGGTCTTATTAATAAAAACAAACCCAGAGCCAGGTATCGGGGTGAAAGCTGAAAGATAAGAGAAACAGAACCAGCCACATCCAACCTCACCTTGCCAACTTCTCAGCTGATCTTGTTTCCTCAGACTGAAAGCCTCTGAGTCCTCATCCAAGTGGATCTCGGATGTACTGCTGCTAAAAGCCTAAATGCTTAAAAAGACTCTAGTTTCTGGTCTTCATGCCTTATATACCTTTCTGCTTCCTGCCATAACTTTCTGGGATTAAAGGTGTGTGTCCTTCCCAAGCAAACACATGAGATCTCAAGTGCTGGGATTAAAGGTGTGTGCCATCACACCTGGCTCTGTTCCTAATGTGGCCTTGAACTCACAGAGATCCAGATGGATCTCTGCCTCCCAAGTGATAGGATTAAAGGTGGGTTTGCCACGATTTTCTGGCCTCTATGTCTATCTAGTGGCTGTTCTGTTCTCTGACCCCAGATAAGTTTATTAGGGTACACAATATATTGGGGAACACAATATCACCACAGAATTTCTTCAATGCCCATCATTTTCTCTGAAGTAAATTGGTGCTGTCAGGAGCAGACATGTCTCATAGTCATAAAAAAAAAGAAAAAAATCTATGTTATTAAAACATCTTAAATGCCATATTCTGTAGATCTCTTAAGTATTTGAAGATGACCTGTCCACCTAAAATATCTCTGTTAGACCTTGAAAACATACCTAACACGGCTACAAGTTTGATTGTAGTGACTAACTACTAACTTTCATCAGGCAAGTTTTATTGGGGTACACAATATACCACCACAAGAGCTGGGTCTTTTCTGAACAGCTGAACATCCTGGACCATCCAAGACAGCTGCAGGTACTTTGTTTGTGCTAAGTCCTCAGGCACTTCTTTTTCTGCCTCCCAAGGGATGTTCAGAAACTGCTCTTCCTGTCAGATTTGCCTCTGGAAAAGGAGTCACATACTCAAAAGCCATGTATACTTCATCCCTGTATTAGCATTCTTATTTGAAATATCTATGGACATGATACCTCTTTGTAGGCAACCTTCACATATTGAAATTTGTTATCTGCACATGGAGAAATTTTAACTAAATTCTAGAGTGAGGGGCTCCTATCCTTTCTCAGATGTCCCAATGTCCCTTTCTTTTCTATTATGTCCCATTTCTTCCTCAGGCCATGCTTCTACCCTCAGACCTTCTGTTCTCTTTTTTCAAACTTATATTCCAGTGCCTTGGAAGAAGTGAGATCTGGACTACCATGCCAATGCAATAGTTACTTGTTCTCCGTAGTTAACATGTCTCTCCATCAGCAACCACAGTGCACTGTAAGAGGTGTCCTCCTGCACAACTCAGGCAGGCAGAGGTAGTGCTCTGTGGGTATAAGAATAAATGTTCAGAAGGAAATTTGTCAACTGCTCACATCTACTCAACAAAATAATAGCAGTTGCTGGCACCTTGGATCACCCCACCATAAGTTTCTGTGAATTCTCCTTTGTAGTAGGGACTTAAATCCAATCTGAAAGTTGTTGGTTGTACCCACAATAGTCCATTCCCACTATTGCATCAGCTGGCACATCTTGTCTTGTATATTGATAGTATAGCATGAACTTTTGGTGACAATTCTCCCTCAGCAGCCCACATTCTATGATTAAGCCAGCCAGTACCTTGCAATCAAGCTAGGCCTGTGCACTGATGAAGATGGGGTGGCTAAGCACTGCTATTCTTGATAGAATTCCCTACACTTGAGGTTGATGAGGATGTACCGTACACAGAAGAAGTAGATTAGAGTTCCACTGGGAGCCTTGATTGGTGCTGACCTACCTGGCTGTCTTATGATAGTCAGAAGTTGTGTATGTGTGTGTGTTTGTGTGTTTCTCCTATCTTATCCTTGTGTATTAAGGCAGGAAAATCCTATCCCTCACATGACAGCAAGGATGAATGTTGTATATTGTGTGGTTTTGGGTAACCGGGAGACAAAATGCAGCCAAATTCCTAAGGACTATACATCATCTCTGCATCAGGTGATAACATCCCAGAACCCAAATATGAGGGCTCCCAAGTCAAGGGGCCTTGGGGTACAGAGCCCAAGGGGCAAATGGTATAGTCAACAGTGAGTAAGAAGAACGTTTCTAGGGGTAGAGATACGGGTGAGATAGGGAATCTGGGAGGATCATGGTATCTCAGGAACAGAGAATTACAATATGAAAAGAACCAAAAGTACAAAAAAGTCAATAGTCTACAACTTGACTTGGGAAACTGGTGAAGGGGACAAACACACAGCAGGGACTCCCTCCCGGACCCTGGGTTAGGCACAAACCACAGCCAAACACCTGTCTTAACAGAGAGATCCTTCATTAAGCCGGGAAGCAAAGTTAAAGTGGCTGCTTTCTGACTCACGCAGAAAAACAGCAGCAAATGCCCTTGAGGGTGAAATTTTTAAGAGAAGAAGGGGAGGTCTGTGTTAGGATGGGCTAGGTTGTGGTGGTAAAGGAGATAGGGGATAAGGGAGACGGGGAAGGGGACAAGGGAAATGGGGAGGGGGTATTTGTCCCAGAGGGACAAAGGACGGCCTCTGGATAGAGAGGAGACAGACATGACACATAGTCAAATGGTGGTTTATAAAAGTAATGGGGGAAACCTCATGTTAGGATGAGGCGTTTAATTTTAAATGGGTATGTTCATTAGGTGAACTAAAGGGGGCTTTTGATTGCTAGACTTTAATGCTTTGATAGCTGGACCTTGGTAGTCAGCCTCAGAAGGAGGAATAAGGCCAAATAAGGGAACAGAACTTGGTGGCTAGCTTTAGGAGTGTAATCTAATGGTTTTTGGCAAGGCAGGGGGAATGGAGAAGAAGAGCAAGGCCTGCCAGAGCCGTGCTCACCACATTCGAGCTAGACAGAGTCCCTTCAACTGTGATTTCTAGACTGTATATGTAGGGGTAGCAGAAATGGGGAACAGGTTCAAACCAGACTGATCGAGGGTATCTTGGAAAAGTAAAATCTGAGGAAGCAAGTTATCAAGAGACATGGCAATTATAACTTAGTTTTGGGTGCCCCCCTGTCTGGAATCATAGAAACGGAAAAGGAAAACCTGAGGTCCAGGGGTACAGATACTGCCAGTGCCAAAGATTCAGAAAAAAAGGGAGATCCAGTGCTTTGAGCATTTTGTTAGATGTAGTCACAAGTGTCCTATGCTGGGTCACAAAAATCAGATATCAATAGAGGGCTTTAAGACTAAGAAATCAAGGCATTTGGTGGGACTGTAGAATTGAGATGGAATGATTTAGAGGAATTAAGGGACCTATGTAAGGAACAGCTGGCTTGAGAGATTTGGAGACTTGGAAATGTAGGAGTGCAGGAGAAGCTCCAGTACAAATAAAATATCACCATAGAAATGTGATTTTATTTGTATGTTAATAAATAAAGTTGCCTGGGGGTCAGAGCTAATAGCAAGCCATAGCAGAAGCCAGGCAGCGGTGGTACACACCTTTAATCCCGATCACATGACAGGCAGATCTCTGTGTGTTCAAGGATACAGCCAGCATGGAGACACACACCTTTAATCTCAATACCAACCATAGAAGACCTGGAGGTCTGTATAGACGGGCAGTGACAAGGAGGTCATGTGGTTGGGTTTACAACCAATGAGAAGGCATAACAGAAAGTCAATAAAAAGACAGATACACAGGAAGTAGGTCTCTTTCTGAGGGGAAGGATGACAGCAGCAGCAAAGGGTAAGAAAGGGTTTTTAGTATCAGCTCTTAGCTACTACTCTGACCTGTTGGGCTTTTAACTCTGCATTTGGCTCTGTGTTTTTTATTTAATAAGACTGTTACATCTACAAGTTAATATACTAAAAATGGCCCTCCTACCTGTCTTAGTTAGAGTTACTATTGCTATGATGAAATGCCATGACCAAAAGCAAGTAGGGGACATAAGGTTTTACTTGGCTTACATTTCCACATAGTAGATCACTGACAGATGTCAGGACAGGAACTCAAGCAGGGTTGGAATATGGAAGCAGTAGCTGATGCAGAAGCCAAGAAAGGATGCTGCTTACTGGTTTACTTAGCCTGCTTTCTTATAGATCTCAAGACTGCTAGTCCAGTGATGGCCCACTCACAATGGGCTAAGCCACCCCACACCAATCACTTATTAAGAAATGCTCTGTAAGGTTGCCTACAATTGAGACTCCCTCTGCTCCCATAACTCAAACTTGTGTCAAGTTGACATAAAATTAGCCAGCACACTACCAAAAGCAGTCTATAATTCAACACTATGCCCATCAAAATTCCAACACATTTTTTTTTCACAGAAATTGAAAGGCTACTTTTCAGCTTTAAATGGTAACACAAAAACCCAAGATACTAAAACAATCCTGAATAATAAAAGAATTGCTGGCAATATTACCACTTCTAATCTCAAATTGTACTATAGAGCTGTAGTACTAAAACTGTATGGCACTGATTAAAAATCAGACATGCAGATCAATGGAACTGAATTGAAGTTCCAGACATAAGTCCACATACCTGTGGACACCTAATTTTTTATAAAGAAACCAGAAATGCACACTGAAAAAAGACAACATCTTCAACAAATAGTTCTGGTCAAACTGGATTGCTGTATGTATAAGTATACAATTAGATCCATATTTATCACCCTGCATAAAACATAACTCCAAATGGATCACGGACCTCAACATAAGGCTAGATCTGCTAAATCTGACAGAAGGTAAAGTGAAGACTAGTCTTGAACTCATTGGCACAAGAAGAGACTTATTGAACAGGAAAACAATAACGTAGGCATGAAGGTTAATAAACTGGACCTCATGAGACTGGAAAGTTCTTGCTGCTGCATGAATACCATCACTAGACAAAGAGGCTGGCTACACAATGGAAAAAATCTTCATAAATTACACATTCTGTTGAATGTGGCTAATGATGGCTCATGTCTAAAATACATAAAGGACTAAAAAAAATGGACATCAAGAAAATATTCCAACTGAACAATGGGGTACTCAACAAAACACAGAATTCTCAAAAGATGAAACACAAATGCTGAGCAACACTTACAGATATGTTCCACATCCTTAAAAATCAGTGAAATGCAGCCCAAAACTACTTTGAGATTTCATCTTATACCAGTAGGAATGGCCAAGATCAATAAAACAAATGGCAGCCCATGATGGCAAGGATATGTTGTAAGGGAAACACTTGTCCATGGGTGGGTGGGCAAAAACTTGTACAGCCACTGTGGAAATCACTGTGGTGTTCCTGTCTCAAAAATCATCTACACCACTCTTTGGCATATACCAAAAGGACTGTATACAGTGGGAACACTTGCTCATCCATGTTCATTGCTCATCTACTCATAATAGCCAAAAATTGGAAACAGACTAGATGTCCATCAACAGATGAATGGATAACGAACATGTGATACATTTACACAATGGACTAGTATTCTGCTGTTTAAAAAAAGAATGAATTTTGCAGTTAAATTGATGAAGCTAGAAAAAAATAATTTTGCACGAGTAACCAAACCTCAGCTGATGTCAAGACACCTTCTTGTTTTTTAAAGCATATGAGAGAACAATCTACATGATGAAGTTCAGCTGTCAGCACAAGGTATAACTGAGCCACCTCTGCAACTCAGCTTCTGCGTGAGGACACACTTACTAAGGATTTCAACTCAGCATTGCTCGTGTCTCCTCAATCACCCCTAATTTCTCAGCTCCAGCTTGCCAGCATCAAGTGTCCCAGTAAATCAAAGATTTTACTTCAGTGGTGCAGGTCTCATTAGTCATGGCTGATTTTTCAGCCCTACCTGAACAGACCCATAGATTCTTTATTCAAGGTATCAAATGGCCCTGATAGAGCCCTTAAACTTCCCTCTAAACTTCACAGGTTGGGCCTCCATCATCTGCACTACATTCAGCATTATCTTCCAAGCTCTGATACAACAGGCCACTGAGCTATCAACACTCAATGGCTTTTCTAGCTCAAAGTTGCAAAGTCTTTCTCTGATCCTCCACCAGACAATGTTTTCAGGTCTGTCTCAGCACTCCATACAAACCTGGCTCCCATTTTTTTCTTAGGAGGGTTATTATTACTGTGATCAAACACCATGACCAAAACTACCTTGAGGGGGTTTATTTTGCTTATATGTCCATATCACAGTTCATAATCAACAGAACTCAGGTCAGGAGCTCAAGCAGGGCAAGATCCTGGAGGCAGGAGCTAATGCAGAAATCTTGGAGGGGTGCTGCTTACTGGCATGTTCCTCATGGCTTCCTCAACCTACTTTCTTGTAGAACCCAGACCACTAGTTCAGGGGAGGGGGTGATGCCAGCCACAATGGGTTGGGCCCTCCACCTACTTTTACTAATTAAGAAAACAGGCTAGCCTGCTAACAGCCCAATCTTATGGACTCATCTTCTCAATTGTGTTTCCTGCTAGGTTTGAGCTCTTTCCTTGGCTTCCTTCAGTAGACTGTGATCCAAGACATCAGTCAAATAATGCTTTCCTCTTCAAGTAGCTTTTGGTCATGTTTTTTTTCCCTAACACAACAGTAGCCCTAAAGCTGGGGCTTTATCTCATTGCAGTAAAAACAACTGACAATGGCTGGAGGAGGTATGGAGAAAAGGAAACTCTCATTCACTCTTGGTGGAATTCCAAACTGGTGCAGCCACTATGCAAATCAGTGTGGGGAACTGTCAAAAAGATAAAAAACAAATTTACTATATGATCCAGCTATACAATTTCTTTCATATGCCTAAAGTCTTAACATCCTTCTCCACAGATAATTGCTCAGCCATTTTCATTACTGTTCTATTAAAAATAGCTAGGAAATGGAAACCTCCATGTCCTACAACCAAGGAATGGACAATGACAATATGGTACATGTCCACTGTGGAATACTACTCATCCACAAAGAAAAATGAAATTATGAAATACACAGGTGAATGCATAGCACTAAAAACAATATCAAACTGAGTTAGTAGCTCTGATGCAGAAACAGAACTGTAGAATGTGGTCTCTTCTCTGAGGCTCCTAGTGTTAAATCTTCAGGTATGAATACATATCCTGGTGTCATCACAGACACCCGGAAAATAAAAAGGGATCATTCCATGGTAGGATGTGGAGGAACAATAGAGAGAGGAGCAGCGGCCTACAGCATCTCAACCACGCTGCGTAAGGCTGGTGCCAAATCTCTGCTGCTTAATGTGGAAGATGGGCTACCCCAGGACCTAGCTATGAGTGTAAGAGACATATTCTCTGCCCTGCAGGGCCTCTCATTCATAACAGAGTTAGGTACTTTCATTGAAGGTCCCCTGCAGGGTAAAGTGTTGGGGTTAGGTTGGTAATGTAACTCTGTTGACAGAGTGCTTGCCTAGGATGGAAAGAGCCCTGGGTTCAATCCCCAGCACCACAGAAAGTAGCATTTACCTGTTATTTGAGCACTTTGGAAACAGAGGCAGGAAATCCAAAATTGAAGGTCTTCTTTTTCTATATATCAAATTTCAGGCCAACCTACGCTACACGAAGTCCTACCTAAACCCCTCTACAGCTCAAAACTGCTGGGGTAGGACAGGACCACTTCCAACAAACCAACACCTTACCTTGAGCTGGTATTTACCCTCTGAGTCAGTTTTCTAAGGTGGTCAGTCTCAAGAAGCCCAGGCATGGACTCAGATAGGAGTGAATCAATGAAGCTAACCAGATGGACAACAATGCCATCGTGAGGGCTGTGAGAACCCAAAGAACCATGCCTCAGCATATGCCTGCTCTCAAGTCCACCCAATATCATAGCACACAAACATATACCTGGTGTTTTCAGGTCTTAGACTTTCTTTTAAGAGGCAAGAGTCATATCTTTTATACATTAAAAAAAATTCAACTGGGCATGGTTGTGTTTTCCTTTAATCCCAGCACTCAGGAGTCAAAACTAGGCAGATTTCTTTGAGTTCAAGGTCACTCTGGTCTACACAGTGAGTTCCAAGACAGCCAGAGCTACATAGTGAGATCCTGTCTCAAAGAACAAATAAAAATATTTAAAAAATTATATGCTTACCCTTCCACACTCCAAAAAACAAACAAACAAAAAAACCCACTACCACCACCACCAACAACAAAATAGGCCAGTGGACTGGATCATCTCTACAGTCACTCCTTGACCAGGTTTTCTGTGGTGATGCCAAATGTCTTAGAGCTGCTGCTCAACAAAGATCACAAAGATCAGAGTGCTTGGAAGACTTGGACTGACCCTTGGTGGAATCTGCTGCACAACTCTTCCTATGTCTTTGACATGTTTAATTTTTGAACTCATGTGGGAGGTCAGCTTGGAAACTGGCTCCCACAGTTTACCCCAGGGTACTCTTGAGGAGTGAGGGATAAGAGATTTAGATAGGATAAAGAGGGGAGAGAAACATAGAAACACAGGATAGCCTCAGGAGGGCCTGGATCCTACCCCCTCCAGCCATTGTCAGTTGTTTTTACTGCAATGAGATAAAGCCCTAGCTTTAGGGCTACTATTGTGCTAGGGAAAAAACATGACCAAAAGCTACTTGAGGAGGAAAGCCTTATTTGACTGATGTCTTGAATCACAATCTACTGAAGGAAGCCAAGGAAAGGACAAGACATACCGAGATGTGATTCCTATCTGTCCATCTCTCCTAAAATGAAACTAAGAAATGTCTTGTGTCTGCTTCCTCTGTTGCTGCTTTTGCATCCACCCATCTTTAGACCCTGCCCTCATCCGGAGCTGGACTTTGGCAATTCTGCATTATTACAGAGCTTGATCTGTATAGGAATGCCAAGGGGTGGAACAAAAGACTTCTCCCTAGCTCAGCCAAGTGTAGACCCTTCCAATCTCCTAGAAACCATGCACATGATCAAGCAATCCACCAATGCAGCTCTGCTGAGTAAAGCAAGCTCAAATTGCACTAGGAAACCTTTATGGGGTGGGCCTTTACAAACTCTTGCTGTTAAGGGCCCCTCACTGAAGGCCGGAACTGGGACAATGTAACAATTCTTATGAAAGCTGATGTTAAGAATAAAACCTATGGTGATTCCTTGGGAGAATTGGCTATGCAAGAAACTGAGTCTTCTATAGAACTCAAGTGGTATAAATAAGCATGAGAAATCGGTTGTGGAACAAATCATTTAAGAAGAAAACCTTAGGAAAATTTTAGAAGCTGACAAGTTGCAACTGAATCATTAGGTTTCCATCCCCTGCCCAGAAACACCGAACTAGTACGGACAAGGAAAAGATTTCTGATTCTAAAGTTAACGACAGGTCTTGGTGCCTTCCTGAAGGCAAAGTAAGCAGCTTTAGGAATCTTGATGTTCCTTTACTCTTTGCAGAATTGTAATAAAGACAGAGACCACATGGAAACAAGAGTTAATGACAGAGACACAAAGAAAACCATCTTGGCTCAGTGAACTGCCTGACTGCTGAGCAGACTTGTCAGACTTCTCTGATTGTGGAGAGAATAAAGAGTAGAACATGGTATTTCAAAGGTCATGGGAAAAGATGGTGGTCTTATGTTAGATATAAAATAAAGAATTTAAACAAGGGACTGAGGAATTGGATTTCTGTAGGAAGATCAAATATTCATGATAGTAGATTAATAGAATAACAGGTAGTGGGCAATAACTTCTGGTCTATTAACTTACTAGTCAAACTTAAATAGAGACATCCTGTCTAGTCTTCTGTAACTGCAAGGCTTTATGACACCAATGTTAAGGAAAAGGATATTGAGTTAAAAGAATTGATTTTATTGTAATGTTATATTTTAGTTCTCATGAAATTTACTATTTGCTCATTTCATTTCTTTTACTTTGATATGGTTATGTAATTATGGAAGACTTTAGAAAATGTATGTACCATGAAAAGACTTTGTAAGCAATGATTAAAGTCTGTGATGAAATGATTTTGTGTATAAATAAGGCCTGTTAGAGATACAGGTTGCCAGAGTAGGACAAGCCATGCCAAGATGTGATTCTTCTCTGTCCATCTCTCCTAAAATGAAACTAAGAAACGCCCTGTGTCTGATTCCTCTGTTGCTGCTCTTGAATCCACCCATCTTTAGACCCTGCTCTCATCTGGAGGTGGACTCCACTAATTCTGCATGATTACAGAGCTTGATCTGCCATGTCCAGATCAGGCCCTACCTGGGGAGTTAGTCTGACTGAGTTCCCTGCTGGTCTTCTGCTCTGGCAGGAAGAGAGCTGTATAGCAGCTTTTCTAGGTTCCTAATGCCACCTCTAAGGACACTAACCCTGTGTCTCTCCACTCCCTTTCCCAGCACCTTTCTTATCTGCCCTTTGCTAATATGAAAATCTCCAGGAAGCCACTTCTGTGTGCTGACTGAAGCTAGGCCAGGTTCCCCACCTCTTCTTACCTGGAATGTGGAGTCACAGCGGCTACAGCTGGGGTCAAGCAATGTGCCCCTTTGCTGAGAACGGAGCCTGTGGCTAGCTAATTCCTAAAATGAGAGGTAGAACAAGAAGAAATAAATCAACACAACTTCCCATGCTTAGAGCTTATAAGCTCTACCGAAATGTGCCGTGTGAGTGAGATGGCTCGAAAAATCATAAACACTTAAAAATATGGGAGTGAGTTTCAGGGGGTGCTGAACAGAAGGGAAAAGGAGCAGGAAGGAGGACAGTGAAGTGGTGGGGGGTCATTCTCTGGGTGTCCCAGGGAAGCTTCAGATGAATGGGTGTCATAGCAACTAGGCCATGGAAAAGAAAGGGACAAAGCATTGTGGGAATCCCTCCAGTGTAGTAGATTATTATTTTTAGGTATGTCACTTTTGTTTAGGTATGTTACATTTGTTTAACTCTGTTGTTGTTGTGTTACTGTGCCTGTCTAAAACACCTGATGGTCTAATAAAGACTTGAACAGCCAATAGCAAGGCAGGAGAAGTGATAGGTGGGGCTGGCAGGCAGAGAGAATATATAGAAGGTGAAAACTGGAGTGAAGAGATCTAGGAGCCAGAGAAGGAGGAGGACCCAGGAGTCAGACACCCAGCTACACAGCAAGTCACAGAGTAAGAGTAAGATTTACAGAAGTAAGAGAATGGAAAAAGTCCAGAGGCAAAAGGTAGACGGGATCATTTAAAGTGAAGAAAAGCTGGCATGCAACAAGCCAGTCTAAGGCTGGGCATTTATAATTAAGAATAAACCACCATGTGTGATTTGTTTGGGAGCTGGGTGGTGGCCCCCCCAAAGAACAAAAGACTGAAAACCAAACAACACTCCAGTGAATTAAAGGAACTGGAAGCAGGCAAGCAGAACTCTACATTTTTGGGTGAGTGGGCTAGGAGGATGCTGCAGGTCATGCAGAGCCTAAAAGGTAGAGGTCACAGGTGTAAGGAGGATTATCACTGACACAGCAAAACAAGGAAGGAGACGCACTGTTAGAAAATGGGAAAACTAACCTAATTAGAAGGTGCTAGAGGGCCTCAGATATTCACAAGTCTGGTTCACTAAGTGGCAATGGTCATCACTGTGTCTGAGATGGTGAAGGCTGATAGCTGTGGCAAAACTGGCTGGCACATAGGGAGGGTGTGATTCCTGTGGTTCTCCACAGGCTCCTGGCCTGGTCTGCTACCGGGCCTCACAGAAACAGTGTGTCTAGGGGGCCTCCAAGGGGGCTGAGGGGCTGTAGAGAGGAGTCAGGAAGAACAGCACTTCTGCTGGCCGCTGCTGGGGCAGGCGGTCGAGGGAGCACAGGCGCATGCAGACTGGGGAATCTTCAGCAATTTCAAGCATTAAGGGCAGGGAAAGAACAAGTCCAATTGTGATTGGAAAACAACACCCTAAACATGACATGGTCATGGGAGAAAGCACTGGCCCATCTTACCTTAAATTCTTGGGGAGTGTTTCATAGAATTTCTTTTACTTCTCTTTGTTTTCTGCCAACTCAGAACAGTTGAAGGCTCTTCTTCACAATGTTTTTGTTGATGACTTACAGGATCATGGCCTCCATGAAAGTTTTTGTGCTAGACTTAGCAATAATCTCTAATTTATTTACCAAGTCAGCCTTGGTCATGCCAATGTCTGTCCAGCAGGGCCAGCCTGCCCTTCTTAGGGTTGGAGATGATGTTAATTTTTAGCATTTTACTGTCATCCAACTTAGAAGGGTCTCTCAGGTATCATAGTGAATTTTGTCCAAGACCTGTAAATACATATACAGAGTCACATTATTCCATTTGTCCGGTCCCTTTCAAACTTGTGACACATTTTTGGGATCAGCTGCTGCATTATATCGCTCAGTCACTCCCACTACATGTCACACTACATGCCACTTCTCCCACTTCTATGAAGTTTTAAGAATACAACAGAATACTCACATCTGAAGCATTGGAGATCAACTCCCAAGGAAAATACATAGCTTGTATTGATGATGGGGGCGGGCAGGAGCTGAGCAATTTCTGCCTGGCATCTAAGAACGAGAAGATCGTGTATGACCAGGGACCACGATGGCTGCATACTTTAAAATCCAAGAGTTCACCTGTTTCAATTAAGTCCTTATTCAGAGGCACAGTTAAAACAGCTTCCAACTCCCAGGAGATGAGAGCTGCCACTTCTTGAAAGGACCTTGAAGCTACAGCGAAAAGGAAAATCAAGAGCGAAAACAAAACAAAACAAACAAACAAACAAACAAAGGAAGGGTGTTCAACCAAATGGAAAGCCTTACTTTCTGAATGGTATGTTATGAGGTCAGCTAGGTGCCTCAGAAGCTCAACACCTGCTGTTATACCTTGTAAAAACCCAGAATGAAAGCGTTAAGTAGATTAAGAATCCCACACAATCCCTGTTGTGCACATATAAATGGGAAATTCGTTAACAGTCAAATTTTCACTTGAATTAAGAACAAACTAATAGAAACAGTGGCCATTTCTATGTGCTGTTTCCCGTGGGCAAAAAATCCTTCAAAAGAGTTTGCTGTTCCATCCAGTAGGGCAAGAGAACCCATTGGGCAGTAGTGGGGGCGCTTAAGGGGCAATTAAAACAGGACAAAGAATGTATGAGGTAAAAGCTCCACCATAACCACATTGAGTCGATTTGCATAGGTTTAAACACAAGAAAAAAGGTGGCCCAAGCATTCCAGCCACACTTGTCACCCATGAACATTCATGGGAAAGAGCCACTCGGCAAGGGGCGCCACCACACACTCTCCCATCATTAGGCAACTGGGCCCCTGCACAAGAAGTTTCCACAACGACACAAGGATTTGGGGAGGGGAGGAGTAGGTGAGGAACCTATAAAAGCTCCCCTTGCCCGCACCATCCCCATTTCTCCTCCTCAGCCACTGGGGGTCACATTCAAGATCTGGAAAGGGAAAGCACTGTGGGAAAGCGTCCCTGCCAAAGCATCCCTGTGGACTCCTTCCCCCAAATCAAGCAGGTTGGGAAACAGGTCCAACCCAGGTGGCAGAGTCGGCTTCCTTGGGCAGCGCTGAGTCACCAACAGGGCAGCCCTCCACCGCCCAGATGACTGGACCCAGCAGCCGCGCCAACAATGGGAGGGCAAACACGGCTGCGTGCCCCGGGGTGGCTGCCCACCACCTGGGTGGGTCGAGCTCCCGCCCCGCACGGTGCCGATCCACCCGCCCCGGGAAGACTCGCGGCAGGCTTGTGCCGGGTCAGCCACAAGCAGTGGAGACTCTCCAGGCACCTCATCCCAAAGGTCACCCTCCCTCTTTTAGGACACATGAGAATCAGGGGAGGCTCCGGGGAAGAAGCCGCCACCGCAGGAGGCCAAGGCCTTGCCCTGACAAGAAAGCACGGGCGTAGGACACAGAGCCGTGGGCTCCGATCGATCGACTGGAACACTGAAACTGAGATGTGTGTGGGTGACTTAGAGAGCGTTCTCCAGGGTGAGCCCAGGACCTCCCTGGGATCCCTTAGCCTTAAAGGAGGGGCTTCTAGCTGCCCAACCGTCGTTGCCCGCCCACCTCGACGTCTTGACGTCAAGGTCACGATTCCTGGAGCCGGAGGGAAGGAATTGGTTCCTGGATCTGGGCTTGCCCAGGCTCTAGCCAGCTGTGGTTGAAGCAGCGGGAGCTGCTGTATTATGATTTCTTTCAGCAGTTTCTGGTCAGGTAAAGGAGAACCAGACCTCTGTCTTTTTCTTCCCAGGGGTGTGGGAGTACGTCCCAGAGCTATGAGTGGTGCTGGTGAGCTTGGCAAAGTTCATTCCAGGGGCCGAGGACAGCTTTTGTGGAGCAGAGGAACTTAAGAGTGAAGACAAGGAAAGACCCAAAGCTGCCTCCCATTTCCTGTTCTTTGAAATAAGGAGTGGCTGGGGTGTAGCTCAGCAGACTGCTTGCCTAGATCCCGGATATGGTAGTACATGCCTGCAATACCAGCACTTAAGAGGTGAAAGCAGGAAGAAGAGTTCAAGTTCATCCTCATGTACATCTTTTCTCACAAAAACAAAGTGAGCATAAAAGAAAAATTAGCCTTTCTGTATCTGGGCCACATTCCAGGTGTCTGTACTCCGGCCTCTCCCTTCTTTGAGGCTGTAGCAGGGGGACTCTGCAGCCCTCTGAGGTCAAAGCAATTTACCATCCCTTTATACCCAGGCCCAACCTTGGGTCTTGCTCAACCCGGAGACCCAGGCTGCCCGCCTTCTATCCTCTTCAAGGGTTTAAGCCTTGGGAGGACACGGCCACAGCGAGCTGTGGAGGGGAAAAAAAGTTTATTTAGAGCGCCTCTGAAGGCACCTGGTTTCTGTCAGCATGAAATGGCAGTAAAATGACAAGGTTTGGGGACATGGAGAACAGGCATAGAAGAAAGGATGGAGAGGGAACATCATCAGATCACATGATACACCAGTTAGGCCTGCCACCCCCTCCCCCATCCTTGTGATAGACAGATCTCTCTCAGCCTAGGAGTCGCTTGAGCTTGGCTTAAGCAGGGCTCCATCAGAGCTGTCAGTGAGAGACTGTACCCCCTTGCATCCTGACCCCTCAACCCCAAGTCCATCTGCTGAGGCTCCCTCCCTGGGGTCTGGACATCAGAATCCAGCACAGGGCAGAAGCAAGCAGAAGCTGGCTGGGAGAGCAAACCTCTTTACCCCTGCTCATCCCAGACAGAGACGGTAATGAGCAAGAAGCAGGCAGGCAGTGTAGTCCTGTCCCCATGTGGTCACACAACTGCCCTCACTAAAGAGGATACAACTCTCAGAGCCAGTCCCAGAAACAAAGAAGGCTGTGATGATTCCCGCTGTCTCCACGTCAGCTGGCTTGCCTCTCCTAAAAGAGAAGGCAGTGTAACATTAGGAGAGCCTAGGCCAGCCCTGCCCCAGCATGTCAACCTACGTTCCCAACCCCAGCCCACCTCCCAGGGGGTGATCCTCCACCCTGTCTCTATCCCTGTCCACAACTCAGCATAAGCACACTGGGATGCTCTTACCTCCACTGCCCTCACAACCCCCCACCCAGGCTAGGCTTTCTGGCTTCTTGCAGCTTGGAGACTAAGTACTTTCCTACTGTCATTTCTTGCTATACTGAAGGACACCCCTGGGACTCTTAATTAAGTCCTTCCAGATGCCACCAAATTCCCTCATGGCCCTACCCACTTGGGCCCAAAACACATGCAGAGGCTGGTAAGGTAGTCATTGGAACAGGCAAGGGCAGGCATGAAGAGAATGAACCAGCTGTCATGCTTAAAGACTAGACAGGCAGGAGAGCTGTCGCACCTTGCATAGCAAACGCAGGGGGAACAAACAGGAGCCTGGGGATCACCAAACTTGGCAGACAGTGCCCCTCTTTACCAGGCTGTACAGAACAGACAATACCTCAGCCCAGGTCATTCCTCATATTCCACTCAGGGCCTGTAGAGACGTGGAGAAAATCTCTAGGCCTGATTACCTTTTGGGGTGCTGAGTGCCAGGTGCACAGTGGTGGTGCCTGTGGAATACTGAATTTTTTGGAATGCAGAATTTTTTTTTTTAATTCCTGGTTTTGAGACAAATTCTCATATATCCCAGGCTTGCCTCAAACTCAATATGTAGCCAAGAATGACCTTAAATGTCTGATCCTCTGTTTCTACCTCAGAAGTGCTGGGATTACATGTGTGCACTACCCTACTTGATTTATGAGGTACTTTGGATCAAACTCAGGGCTTCAGGAAATATGCTAGACAAGTAGTAACACCTGAACCACATTCCTAGTCTCAAATACTGGAATATATCTTATGATGTGGGTATGCATGTGTGCATGTACACACACACACATACACACACACACACACACACACACACACACACACACACATCTCTGTCAGGCTATCCACCTACTCATGGTACATGTGGGTAGGAGAAATGTCTCAGTGGTCTAGAGTGAGTACTGCTCTTGCAGAAGACCCAGGTTCAGTTCCCAACACCCACACCAAGCAGCTGACAACTACCTATAACTCCAGGTCCAGGGGAATCTCATGCCCTCACCTGGCCCCTGGGCACCTGCACGCACATGCATGTATCCACATACATATATCCACATAATTTAAAAATAATTTTAAAATTGTAGCTAGACATGGTGGCACATGTACTTGGAAAGCAGAAGCAGGTAGATCTCTGTGAGCTCCAGTCCAGACTGTCTACATAGCAATTTCCTAGACAGCTAGCGCTACATAGTGAGACCCTGTCAAAAAAAAAAAAAAAAAAAAGAAAAGAAAAGAAAAGAAAAAAAGAAGAAAAGGAAAAAGAAAACAGAACAAAAACAAAAATAAAAATCTTAAAACCTAAAAAAATTGTACACATAGTTACAATTAAGTTATGTCTAAATTTGAAAACAATGGTTGCCTTAGCATTGTATTTTTTCCCCCTTCTACAGTGCTACAGGTAGAACCCATGCTAGGCATTCCCTCTACCACAGAGCTGCACTCCCAGCCACAACTTCATGTATTCTTGGGGGTCCCTCTTGGTCTCCCTTGGACCTTTTTGATCCCACAGAGCCTGTAGCCCATCCTCTACTTACCCACATGCAAACAGCTGGGAGGCCCCAGCCTAACCAGTCAAACACATTCAAGAAACAAGGCACAGGAACGAAGTAGCTTCCTAGAGGAGAAAAGAGAGACTCAGACTTAGCACCTGTCTCTCTGGGGCACAGCCTCCTCACTGTAAAGTAGAAGAGAGGTTTCCAGCCAAGGGCAGGGCGATCAGGCCCATGGAGATCCAGCTGGCAGAATCCAGGTTGCAAGCATTCCACCCTTGGTCCTGCTCTATACTTTGTCCGAATCCATCCCAGGGATCCACAACAGCCTTTCTCCAGGTACACTGGTGCCTGAGATGCTGGATTTGACCTTAGCAGTCACAGCAGGGAACAATGCAATAAATACTGTGAAGTTGAAGCAGGGGTTGAGAGCCAGGACTGAGATCTGGAGAGTGAGGGTAGAGATTCATTCAGGTTCTTGGTTGTTCATGGTTGCTGTGTACAAAAGACCAAAGAAAACACACACACACACACACACACACCACTCACAGGATGGAAGCCAGAAGAAGGTCCTGTCTCAGGTCAGAAAGGGCAGTGGTGAGAGGGTAGATACAGCAAAATGAGAGGAAGGGGTGAGGAGGGGAGGACAGGACACCTACACTCTGAAGCATGGCATGGATAGAGTTGTTTCTGCACTTTTGTGTATTTATTACATCAGCTGTAGTCTAGTTTGTATTGTGATTATTTGTTGGTGTGTCTTTTTTCTCAGCTGGAACAGGAACCCTTTAAGACAGGGATCCACTGAGCTACAAGCATTGCAGTAACTCAACTACAAGCACTCTACTTACTGAACCACAGGCACTCTACACACTGAGCTACAAGGACTCTACCTATTGAGCTCCAGACTGAGCCAAAGCTCTCTGCCCACTGTACTACAAGCAATTTGCCAGGAAGGCCACAATAACCAACACCTCTTCCTTGTTTTCCCATCATCCCTCTCTTCTCTGAAAAAAATAGTTCAAGGCAAAGCAGTCTTGTTGTTCCAATCTTAGATGGTCTTTTAATAGAAAACCCAGAGCCAGATATCAAGATGAAAGCTGAAAGATCAGAGAAGCAGAACAGTCAGCCACTAGATCTTACCTCTATGAAATCCTCAGCCTAAAGAGAGTGAGTTCCTGTTGCTCACACCTTATATACCTTTCTCTGCCCAGACATTACTTCCTGGGATTAAAGGCATGTGTGCTTCCAAGTTCTGGGATTAAAGGTGTATGCCAGCACTGCCTGGCTCTGTTTCCATTGTGGCCTTGAACTCACAGAGATCTAGACAGATCTCTGCCTCTGGGATTAAAGGTGTGTGCCAGGACTGCCTGGCTCTGTTTCCATTGTGGCCTTGAACTCACAGAGATCCAGACAGATCTCTGCCTCCTGAGAGATAGGATTAAGGATGTGTGCCACCACTGCCTGACCTCTATGTCTAATTTAACGGCTGGCTCTGTCCTCTGATCCTCACATAAGTTTATTAGGTTATATAATATATCACCACATTTCCCTTTTTTTTGTCTAAAATAATAAAAAGGTTATAACTAATATAAGAAAAACTAAATACAATAAGTATATACAATATATACAGTTAAGACTTACATTAACAATATCCAGTCCATAAACATTTGACAAATTCAGAGAAAATGCTCCATTATTTATCCTATTTTGGTGGGTCCAAAAATGTACCTAATTCACTTTCTATCTTAACTTGTATTATCAACACAAAACTGTCTTTTGATGTCTTCCAAACTTATACACTTTATACCTCTTTAGTGAGTTTCTTTTCTGAATTTGTTAACAAGGAAAACTATAACTATCTAATCTTTAACTCCCTCAGAGACCCGAGAAAGAAATAATATTACCTAAGTAAGCAGGAAGTGCAAACAAGAAACTTCCAAAAAGTGTGAGAA